AATTTTTTTTTTTTTTTTTTTTTTTTTTTTTTTTAAGAATAATAATAATAAATAAAATGAAGTGTGGGATAAAGGTGAAGAAAAGTTTCGGAAGGTTAAAGTAATAAAAAATAAAGTAATAAAAAAAAGGAGATTCAAAGGTGTTGGGCGGTTCCTACCACTAAGGGAAAAAGAAGATGATGGGTGTGCAAAACAGTGTGTGGTGCGTGTCCTTGTCAAAAGGAGGAGTAAAAGAAATAAAAAAAAATATGAGTGGGGAACAAGAGTGCGTGTAGACAAGCCCACGTGAGGCAAAATCAATTCATCACGACACAGCAGCGGGAACATAGAGAGCAAAGCATAATGCATCATCCACTTGAAAAGAAAAGGCTCGTCCCCGGCCAAAAGGCTAACAGGTATAAGCGGCAGCAGAATAGATTTCTCATGCACTTGGTATGAGAATAAATAGAATGAGAGAGAACTATTGAGCAACCCATAAAGGAAGTCTTGGTTGCTTGGAGCCCGTATTTGTTGAATCATCGATGGCAGACAGGCAGAAATAGGTGCCTCAAAACTGAGAAGCTTCAGAGATGGTACTGTGAGCAATCTTTTCCACTTTATAAGTACTGATGAGGTGCACCAAAAGTTAGCCACATAATCCTCATAAATACCCCTTTCAAATGGGGCTAGACGGGAGAGAACCTTAGATCTCGTGGCGTCGGGACGATTCAGAGGGAGTTGGCTGGACTCCTCAGATCCGTCGGCGGCGGTGGTGGCCGCGACACCGCTGACGGAGGTGGCGCCACTCTAGGAGAGCGGTGTGGAGGGGCAGTTGAGGAGAGGAGTGGTTGAGAATGGACCACGGTGACTCGAACCATCAGCGCGGAGTCGCTGCTGCCAATATCCACCTCCGCGAACAGTGGTCCGTCGGTGGCCGGTGGTGCGGTTGGGATTGCCTGCGGCAGAGTCCAGGATGATGTGAACCATGGACTCGGCTGTATCGAGGTTCTGTGAAGAAACCCACATGGCTGATTCGATGATTTGGGTTGGGGTCAGTGCCATGGTACTCGAATGCAGTCATTCCATAGGCCTTGTTAAATGGAAGTCCACCTTCAAGAACTGTGTCTTTCAAATAATACCAGCTCTCCATGAGGACCTTGTCTTGGTTCATGAGCAAAAGAGGAGCCATGGAAACACCATCAGCGTTTCTAGTCAAGAACTTGCAAACAGGGGCGAGACCATAGAGCCTCTCGACCCCTCCATTGGGGAGGTCTCGGAGAGTACAGTTGAGAACAGAGTAGCTAGTTAGGAGCCTCAGAATTCTGTCCAGCATCACCGCCGCATCTGGGTTCTTCGTCGGCAGCTGAGCCGCCACCTCCGACGGCGACACATAGGCACCTGGACCAGCCTTACCCATGATCTCCAAAAAGTCAAGCTCAATGGCCGATTTCAACACCATGGGAAGAACAGACGCGCTCGCTAAAGACTGAGTTAACCCGGGTGAGGACTTAGGAGATGAGGTCGGTGGCTTCACGGACGGTGTCGGAGCCACCGAAGGAGTCGCGGCGGCCTTCGGCGGCGACGCCATCGGAGATTTCGTCGGTGAAGCTGCCGGAGCCTGAGCGATGGCAGATCCAGCCACCAAAGCGAACATCAAAACCACCACTACGCTCGGGTAAGCCATTGGAGTTGATTTTCTCTCTCTAGAAACACTACAAAAACAGGGAGTTTTAGAGAGAGAAAGCTAGAGTATAGAGAGAGAGAGAATTAGAAAATTTGGGTTTGTCCGGCGGACGGCCAAGGCGAGGCTGCCGCCCGCCGGTGAAGCGGAATCACTAAGTTCTTAACCTCGCTCTGATACCATGTAAAAATTTATGTATTATTGATTGATATTGATGTTATTTTCTGTCTATTACAAATGGTTCCTTATATAGATGTAGGTGTAGTGGATGGTGTGTAGTGGATGGTGATAGTGGTGTAGTGGGTTAGGTTTAGTGGAGTAGGTGAGGTGGTAGTGGTGGTAGGTGATGGTAAATTTTAACAATTTATCCCTATATGACATATTTTGCATCTGTCGTGTCCTATATTTTTTTTAAAAAATCGTGTCGGCATATCTATGTTGTGTCCATGTCCATGCTTCTTAGCCTGCAAACTATATTATATGGCAAGAAAAGTAGTCATACAATTTCCCACTAACAAAACCCAAGTGTCTCCCTCTCCATAAATGTGGATATATATAATTGTCACGAGTATTAGATGCAAGACCCGCAACATAAGCTACATGCTTGATTTGCATGCCCGGGAACCCATAAGAGAGGAGAAAACAACATTCGCTTCTGCTGCATCCTCTACCATTAATTGCTTTAGCAGTCTTTTCTCTGGATCCAACGTTGTTTCCCATAATTGTAAAGGCATCATCTCCCCCAAACCTGTGTTCCATTCAATTGCGGTGAATGTCACATTTCATTAAAAAAAAATTACATTCGCTAAGAAAGGGATCAAAATAGAAAGGATTTGCAGAGCCCTCAGGCACCAAAAATATCAAATTTTTTTTTTTTTTTTTGGTCATACCTTTGAACCTCTGAATGTTGTAAGATGCATTTGAAGGGAAGGAACTCTGTAACTGTTTTAGTTCTGTATCATCATAGCAATAATATGCTTGCTTTTCCCTCTCAACCTGATTATTTTGACAATAGAGAACAAACTTTTGTGAAGTTACTAGAACATTTTTTCAATTGGACCCATCAAATTCGAAAGCACACCTTGTATAAGGGCGGCACGCCAACATAAATGCAACCTTCATCAAATAAAGCTCTCTGCAAGGAACAAAAACTAAATAAACCAAACTGCTTTTGAATTTTTTAGGCATTTCAAGAAAAAAAATTGTTCTTTCTCTTTTTCAGACCAACAAAATTTAATAGATGATTATCTCAACTATCTACCTGATATCTAAAGAAAAATGTCAATAGCAAAGTTTGGATGTGAGCATCATCCACATCAGCATCTGTCAAGATTATAATTTTATGATAGCGGAGAGCTTCCTTTTTAAAATCCTCTCCCTAAAACCAGTAAAATTCAGTCAACAAAATAGGTGAAGTATCTGAAAAGAAAGGAACTAAGATTTTGAAGATTATAATTAAATAATCTTTACTCCAAGTCCCAAACCAAGAATAAGATTTGGATCTCTTCATTCTTATACATTGCTGCTTTGTCCTTTCTTTCAATGTTCAAAATTTTAACCCTCAAGGGAAGAACAGCCTGCATCAGGCCACAAATAGGTATGTTTTAGTAGTCAGTACTGTTATAGATTTCCTAAAGAATAATGCATTTAGAAGCTATGATGATTGAGAAATAAGTACAAAGAAGGGTACATGTCCTACACAAGTTAAACTAAAGTTCCCTCACTTAAATTATGATTTTTTTCATTCAAAACTTCAAGTTTACAAGAGGCATGAAGCATATTCCGTAACACAAAACATTATCAATCATTGGCACATATTCCACACAATTAATATGGCACACGAGAGAGAGAGAGAGAGGTCAAAAAATTTCATAGACACTCCTCGAACACGCAGGGACACATGACACATTGGGACACGTGTGGACACGCCACATGGCATGTTTAATTTTTAATATTTTTCTTTGGACATGTTGGGGACACCCCCGGACATGTTTGTAATACTAACTAACTAGGACACCTCTTACCTCTCTTCAACCTGAGTATCAAATAGTAACTAGCTATTATTAGCAATTGGCAATCCTAAATAGCATAAAGTTGAGAAGAGTCATGCTACTCGGGGCAAAGGAATAATTCATAACCATATTTCTACACTTTTCTCAACATTGAAAAGAATCCAGAGGAATCGGTATCATATAATAAACTTATGCAGTTCAACCCCAGAAACTAACAATAATTTACCTAAAGGATTTTGAATAATATATTCTTAGGGAAGAGCAGCTCAATCAATCATATAATTGAATTGTGACAGTCATGATTCACGCATTTTAATTATGGTACCTTTAGAGCATTAAGGGACTCGGAAAGGATTGAATCGAGTACATCTGGATGCAACTCCAAGTATTCAGTGAGATACTCTTGAACAGATTGATCAACCACTTTCCTCACCTCTGGATTTCCCAACCTTGTCTTTCAAGGATAGGCAGAATAAGCAGTAATATAAGTTATTCCAAACGAACGAAAATGGAAATTGATGATCTCAAACTTCAAAATGTGCATTGATTTTCATAAACTTCATGTTGTCGAAAGCATTATTTATGACTGAACGCATCAGTGACCACAAATGTAAAGACGAAATCAGTAATACCTTTGTCTGGCCTTCAAACTCTGGATTTGCAACTTCGACAGAGATTACACATGTTAATCCCTCCCTCACGTGCTCACCACTTAAACTAATATCCTTCTCCTGGATTGGATCAAACAAGATTTTAATAATCAAAACAAATAGGCCAGAACCAACGCACCTTCAAAATTTTTGATTTCTTCCCGAGGTTGTTGAGAGTTCTTGTTAATGATGCCTTCATACCATCTATGCGAGTACCGCCATCAATTGTACGAATGCTATTAGTGTATCCCAGCATTGTATGTGAATATGCATCAGAGCACCTACAATAAAGATTGAGAAGAGAACTAAATTAGCTGTAGGCTACACAATTGGCAGCTTTGCACATAATACTGGTTTATCATACTAAAGTTTGAAACAAGAAATCAAACGCTTTTGGCATTTGAGAAAACTATATACTGTTCTCTCCCAACTTGTAAGAAATCCTAGCTCATGCAAATGCATCAAGAAGCATTTAACAAGTTAGTGAATGAGTGACACGTGGACTGAATCTATTGAAGTGGTCTCTGTATTTTCTTGTGGACTGACCAAAATAAATAAATTTGAAAGAAGAAATTGTCAAGAGATTCATGAAAGGGAAAAAAATGCAACAAGAAGAAAGAAAGAAATAATTGCTCACCACTGAAAAGCCACATCAATTCTGATTCCATCTGCTTCTTTTCTAAAACCCACAATATCATGAAGTGGTTTCTGGATCAAAGAACTATCAGTCACTTTACAGTCAAGACTCAAGCATAATGCAAATGTCAAACCACGGGTTGCTGCTTATGACAATTATCAGTTAACTGAATGATGGTAAAAATCCTTTCACCAAATAATCCCAGCCAGCTTTCACATATCAAGAGATAAATAAGCATCAAAATGTTACATGATTATTAGCAGTGGTGTAATCAGCATTTGGGAATGACAAGACTTTCAGGAAGAAAAGGTGGATTATCAAGGCTTCAAATAAAAATATATCCGGTTGATGCATTCAAGTCATAATAGTCATTAGATTTATCAACTATTCCAATTTTCAGTTTTTATTTGACTTTTACAATTAGAAATTTAGTTCATCTAAAACTGGGAGAAGGTTATACGTTCTCTTTCAAATAAGTTGGGAATAATAACCCTACATAAATGGTTAGACAATTAATTTTTGACGATTTAATATCACACTATGGCAATGATGATCTGCAAGCAACCACATAATTAGTCGTTCCTTGGTACTTCAGTTTGGATACAAAATGGTGTACAACTTGATGGAAGAATAGGGAAATGGAAGAATAAAAAATTAGGACTCAACGAGCATAGCAAAGGAGACGTATTGGAAAAACATGTACATAACAGCTAGCTCACTTTGTCGGTATTTGGCCACTTCACATACTCAACCAATCCCCCAGCATAGTAGTGTTCACTCTACTGGTTCTTCTCTGGATCTGTATCCTCTTTCTTAAGAGCAATAGTAATCAGCATACAGTGAGACAAGGGCAGTGTATAGTTAAATAAAAAGAAATAGAAGTCACAAAGACTGATGGCACATCAAGAAAATGAAATTAATAATTAACCATTAAAATATTAATACTAAATAGCAAAGGATCCATTTCTGAAAGATCTGAAATGTTAGGGCAGTCGGAAACTGAATAACCAAAAAAGAAATCACTGTTGAACGACTAGCCATTGAGCCTTGATAATCCCACAACATGCTAGGTAACATTCCATAGTTTGACATGTACAATCTTCTAGCATCATCATATGGAAACAGGTATACTGCAAGTACGACATTCATTCACAAAACGAATATCTCTCAGCAGCAAAGGAAGCTGCAAACAGAAATCAGCTTTGACCAATATTTGGAAAAGATGCAGCAAGTTACCAGATTAAAAAATTTAAAAATTAAAAAAAAAATCTACATTTGAAAAATAAATGAGAAGTTTAAGAAAAAAAAAATTAGAATAACAACTCAGAAGGTTTAAAGATGTCACAGAACAATAAGCAGATGGTAATGACTGTACCTCAGGGTTTAAAAAAGCCAGCTCCCTAATCCGTCCAGCTATAGTGCTTTAATCAAACTGAATTGCTGTAGTGAATACTGCAGAAAAGTTCATGGTTAGACAAAGACTATGAAAACCCCTAAATGCAATTATTGCTACAAATTGAATCAATAGAATCGTCAAAAGCTTGCCGGGTTTTGAGAGTCGAGACTAACTTGTTTTGTCAGGCCAAAACTTAATGTGTGTTCCTTGGCGGTCTTTTGGTTCATCAGGAAGCTCATGACACACTAAAGTTGAAACAGGCTTTCCATCACGCCAAACAGCAACTTCTAATGCCTGCAAACCAATACATGTCAGAAACAAATGATTCGATCCTAAGACGATTGGTGCTCACAAACTGTAAAATGTATATATAAACAACAAAAAAAGACAAAAAATAGGAAAGAACTGAGTGCGCACCAGCAAGCAAAATGTAGAATATAGCACTTAGTGTTGATGTGATGGCCAAGGGAGACACAATTAACACAGCCCACCCTGGGCCAGAGTAGTTACGCTATTATGAAGAGTGAGTTGGAGCATAACCTGTGGTCCGGGGAATTTGGGGATTATTGTGCAAGCCTAAAAGAGATATCATTCATTTTGTAAACAAGTAATGTGAATGACACCAGAATAAAGGAGTCTCAATATTTCTATGACCCGGGAACCAGCAAACTGAAAGTCACAGAACAGGGAAGTAAGACTAAGGGTCATTCTGAGTTGAATTTCAAGCATCAGCTAGGCCTGAAAAATGGAATCATCTACAACTGGAAATGAAACACAGATACACCATCCCTCCTAATCACAAAACAATCCACTAAAACAACCTCTTTAGCCCTACCCATCAATCTGCCTATAACATCAACCACTAAGGTAAACAGTAAGGGTGACAAAGGGTAACCCTTTCTCAGCATAGATGTATAAAGCTCATTTCATCATTACTTGAAACTTGAAATGAAGGCCATCATTTTAAATGTTTCCACCCTAGTGCAGGGATCCATAAGTGGAGACCCCAAGTTAATTGACACCAAAAAAAATATAGATATATATATATATATATAATATCATCAAAATTATAGTAACCTAAAGCCTACTCCACTGCCAAAAGGAACTCAAAGGCCCACCGAAACCAACAACATTAAAACGAAAGAGAAAACCATGAATATATTTACATATCTCAACCAGCTTGAAGGGAATGGCCAAATAAAGTTATAAGAAAAGAAAGTAGCACCTCAGATAGTGCATTAACAGATAAGCCTACACCATGTAGTCCCCCTGAGACACTGTAACTACTACTTGAACCACCAAATTTCCCCCACCAGCATGTAAAACGTGCACAATTTAATCGGCATACATTATTCACACAATCTTTATACAATTAGAAAGACCGTCTCCATCAGCCATGTCAAAAAACATATTTGTTACATTTCAAATCCAACATGTGTACATACATAAAAAGCACATATATCTGCAATCTTTTCTTATACATAACACGTAGGTGAAGATTGATGTGTCCACACAGCATTGCATCTTATTTTAAGGATTTCCCACAGATGCATGCCAGTAAGGAATTGAACAGCTGCTCTATTAATTAAAACACACTGTTTTAAATGGTCTTTGCAAATCTCCCCATCAAGAAAACAGAAGTCCATTACAGTGCAGACTAATAATACTATTTTAGGTTAGGAACTTAGGACAGAACAACTGTATATCTAAATGACCTCAAAAGTAATAGCAACTAGACGGTTGTTTTGCTTCACAAATTGTGTGCTCTTCAGGAAACAATATAACATGCTCAAAATTTTGTGCAAACATATAGTAAAAAGAATCAAAGTGGCCCCTTGAGAAATATTCCAGGTGAAATTCCATCTTGATCCTATAGCCGTGCAGTCTACTTAGAGCGTTAAAATGGAATTGGTAATTTATGCAACAATGCCACCAAAGAAGATTTTTTTTGTCACTGGAAGCAAGTTGATTGGAATCTGCAATACACAAGTGAAACATGAAAGCAAGTGAAAAGTTGCAATAGCACATGAATGTTAGCTTAAAAGAAATGACTCCAAGCAAAATCTAACAACATAAAGTAATTGCAAAGTAGTATTTTGATATAACCCATTTTTTGTAAGTAAATAGAAATTACATAACCAGTTCATTTCAAAATCATAAGAAGTATCAGCTATAAACTGGTGAAATCAAAAATACCATGAAAGTAAAAAAACAAAATATATATAGAAAAGGCAGTAACCACCCCTATAAGACATCTATGGTTATTATCTGTTATAGTTTTGTGTTTTGTTTAATTCTTTGAAGGGTATTTATGTGCTTGTGGCAAACTCTATCTAATACAAATACATGTATCCCAAGGGAGAGAACCCTAAATTTTTGGTCTCTCTCTATTCAATGAAACCGATGAACCACGCAAGCTGATTAGATGCATGGGGGCAGAGAGCTCATTAACTGCATATGGGCCCTTTTCTTCTTCTTAGTGTACATTTAACTTGGTATCATAGTGTCATTCTCGTATATTCTCGTATTGTGGACTGAAAGGATTATGGTATTCTTCATTTACGATTGATATGTAAAATATATATATATGTATATATATTAATAATAAATAAATAAATACAACAGCATGATTGACTTGAAGAGTAGTGTTCACCGATAAATTTTTCAAAATTTTCTACGTTCATTTGATATATTTTTTCTATTGCTTTGATGTTCGAAAAAATATGACCTATTTTTCTAAGATCTTCGATCAACCTTGGTTTTGATCAAATGAATGCTTGTGACGACTCTTCTATGGTTGTTGACCACACCGTTGGGAACGTTACCCAACCTTATTTTTCAGTTGCAGAAGGTTTTTCAAGCTCCAAGGAGGTCCAGCTAGGGTGTTTTGAATACAATGAGTTTTTTCCTCTAGTTTTCTACAGTTGTTGGTTTATCAAAGTTGGTTTTGACACTATTTAAGTTTTCTTATGGTTGAGTTTTGTCAACTTTGTGAGCATTCCTTGACAGTTTCTGGGTTTGTGAGACATATTGAGGAAAATGGTAGCATATTGAAGACGGTCAAGTAAAATGATAGCACAACAATGTGCAAAGAGCAAAAATTGAGAACCAACCAAACTAATAATTAACCAACCAAACCGGACTAACTCCTCCCTTCAAGTTATAGGTATAATTTGGGTGGACTAAAGCAATAAAAAAATTTAAGTTTAATATTTGTATAGTGTCTGAATGCTTATTATTACAACTCTAAGTATTTATAATTTTTGTTGGGGGGTTTTTGGTGAAAAGGCCTTCATAGTAAGTTTTTGTTGCCAACACGCAACAAACAATACAGATTTTGCTTCAAGGACGCTTGCTTGCACTATGAATCATCAATTCTCTCTAAGAAGCTATACTTTTGGGATAAACATGAATAATAAATAAGATAACAATGGAAGCTCATAGAAAGTGCACTCATGTTTGCACTCTTGCATGCATTCTCAAAATTAGAAATAGAATAAAAGAGTCTTGGACTTGTCATGCAGATATAATCTGATACATATTAAAATTTTAGACTTCTAACAACGATATAAATTGATTATCTCGAATATTAATGCATATATTTCGATACCCGTTGCTTAAAAACCATGAGGCAGACTCTTATTTGGCCATTTTCATTTCTTCATGGTTCTCATT